AGCCTGTCATTTGGTAAGCGTACCCAGGTAACTGTCTTTGAATTGGATTTAGTGATGAAGGTCCATAATTTTAGGGTAGTATTCTACATTTTAGTGTTTGAAATCTACCTGTAATGTTTAATGTATTACCCACTGGCCTTTAATAGAAATAGGGTGTTCCAAATTGAATTTTTTTCAGTTCTGATACCCAGGAGGCTGTAAGAATCTCAAAAAAGGCTAATTCCTGTCACTGATACATTTTCTTTTATTCTTCTGTAAAAATAAAAAGGTATTGCACCAAAATCTTTTGTTCCAGTATAAATCCGATACATTTAAGTGGAACAAACCCGGTACCTGCTTCTGCAAACGTTTGATGTAACCTTTTTGATACCTGTACAGAAATCAAGGGGCAAGATTTATATAAGCAGTGTAAGAGTGGGGGAGGCATTTCTGTCCTGAAACCAAGCCCTTTATTTTAGAATCATAGTGTGATTTTAGAGAATGTTGGGTTTTCAATTCTACTATCTTAAGCTGTTAAATAAGCATTGTCTAATGTTTAACAGCCTTTTCTTTAATAACTGGATAAAACCAAACCGGTTTAGTGGTCATAGTAATAAATTGTAGCAACAGCCAGTCATTACTTGATCTTGAATCATAATATCAATGCCATATTTGAGGGTTCTGTTTCAGACAATCTGTCTGCATGTTTTTTTAATGAAGAAGATGTGTTCATACACTGCCAGGATGGTCCCAAGGAGGGTAAGCAAGGCCACTTCTGGGTCTTGGCAATGGCTGCTAAGGAGTTATCATGTTTACACATAAAATTCCCATGTTTTGTTTTATTTTAAATTCAGCTGGATTCCTTAAGGGCTATGATCCTTAAATTTTTGATCAATTTTCAGCTCTTCTGTAAATTAGGAAGCTCTGCTAAATGGTTGTCATTGCCATGCTTCTTGCATGTGTAACTCGGGTATGGATTGTTTTCTCAATCAGAAGGATCAAACAGATTTTGAACAAAAGCAGTATTATTTTTCAGGTACAGTTTCATGTCTGGTTGCTTTTGATAGCAATTTGCAGAACATTTTAATATTTTATTGTCATGACTTTTATGTGAGAATAGGTTTTATGAATTTATTAAAACTTGATGGAGTGTTTTTAAATTTGCAACTCTTATTTCAAGTGAAAAAGGAGAAAATCTGCAAGGCAATAAAAATACATCCGAGAAAGACACTAACTTAGAAAATACTTCCTTAGTATTGATTGTAGATTATGTGTTTCTTCATGCTTTGTGCTGGCTTGATGCTGGTTGCCTTGGATTAATGCCAACTGCCTCAGTATGTTGGTAAATCAGAAAAGACGTGTACTTCAGGGAAAGCAAATGACAGATCTCTTCCTCATAATCCTTTGTAGGCAGGACATTTTAAGTGGGCATATTTAAAAAAAGGAAAGGGATGAAAAATTGTCCTCTGGTACAATGTGGAAAAAAGCTCCTTTACAGAATGTCGTGGTTTAAGCCCAGCCAGTAACTCAGAACCGCACAAACGCTCGCTCATTCCTCCACCTTCTTCCTCCCCCTGCTCCCGGAGGGATAGGGAAGAGAATCAGAAGAATGTAACTCCCAAGGTTTGAGATAAGAACAGTCCAGTAACTAAGGTATAACACAAAGCACTGCTGCTACCACCAAGAATAATAATGATAAGGGGAATAACAAGGGAAGAGAATACAACCACTCACCACCCGCCGACCGATACCCAGTCAGACCCGAGCAGTGATCTGGCCCTTCTGGGTAACTGCCCCCAGTTTATATACTGGGCATGACATACTGTGGTATGGGATAGTCCTCTGGCTAGTCTGGGTCAGGTGTCCTGTCTCTGCTTCCTCCCAGCTTCCCCTCTTCCCTGGCAGAGCATGAGACTCAGAAAGTCCTTGGTCAGAGTAAACATTACTGAGTAGTAACTAAAAACATCAGTGTTATCAGCGCTGTTCCCAGGCTGAAAGTCAAAAACACAACACTGCACCAGCTAATAAGGAGGAGAAAAATGATTGCTACTGCTGAACCCAAGACACAGAGTTACTGCTCATTTCATCCTAATGTGGTGATCAGAAACCAAGTACTTCAACAGGAGGTGTTATGAAAAATGTTTTTGTAAAAGAGTAACTATTGCTTGACCCTTTGGCTTTTAAAGTATACTGAGGATAACACTAAACATGATACTGTTCTTATATAATTTTTTTCAAAGTTATTACTTTGACAAGTTTTGCTGAGCTGATAATTTTACTGTCAGTGCTATATAAACTGAATTGCTGAAGGACATTTCTAATGACTGCTGTTACCTAAACCCTGTATGATTTATTTTTGTTTTTACAGTTTCAATAAAGTCAACCCAATGGCTCTGTGTAAAAAGTGTAAGACAAAGAAATTAATAATTATTGTAATGGACTGCCAGCTGCAACCAAGCATTCCTGATACCATGCTCTTTCCTAAATATCTGCCATGCAGTATCTGTGCAAAATGAAGAGCATGACCTATTTTCCATTGGCATCTGTAAAACTTCTGGTGAATTCAGTGTTTCAGCCTTTTGCTGTGTTTGATGACCTTCTTGGTAAAAAAATGCTTCCTGATTATATCAAGTCTGAACCTCCCTTGGTGGATACAGCTTTGAACCATTCCCACATATCCAGTCCTTTGGTACCAGGAAGAAGAGCTCAGCACCTCCCTCTCCATGTCCCCCTCTCTGGAAGCTGTAGAGAGCAATGAGGTCAAGGTTGTCCCTCAGCCTCTTTTTCTCCAAATGAGACAAACCCAGAGTCCTCAGCCATTCCTCATAGGACATGTCCTGGCACCAGCAAAACAACATGAACATCAAACTGTATTTTGAGATAAGTTTCACACAGAGATGGTGGGTGGTGTGGAGTTCCCTTTGTCCACAGCTATGGAGAGCTTCCTGCTGAAAAGAACTTTGATAACACAACAGAATTTTGAAGTTGACCATTTTGGTATTCTAGTGTGGCTTTTTGTTAAGAGCACTTCTGGTTATCACTTGCCATACATAATTGACAGTTCTAGTGGAAGGTTTTGGGTTTGTAGTTAGAGTGAGGAATATATTCAAACAAGTTACAGATTGCTTAATACAACTGATTTCATAAATACTTTAACTTGTGCTTTAAGTTTTCCTAACAGGTATTTGTGCTTTCATTTTTTAAGAGAGTAACATTACAGGGAAAAAAGTCTAATTTAATTTTAAGCTTTCTGCTTAAATTTTACAGTGTTTTTATAAAACCCCCCAAAACAACAAAAAACCTCAAACAAACAAAACCCAAACCAAAAACCCAAACCAGCATTGTAAAGTGAGAAATGTTTTTACATAAGCTTCATCAAGACAGTATTAATTACATCACTAAAACTCATGTTTACAAACATGTTTCACACTGCCTGGGCAAAAAAATCTTTTGTATTGCATGTTGATATTCCAAAATTTACAGCTTTCATGTAAGTGTAGCTTCTTTATTTGAATTAAAATGCCAAAAAACCAAAACAGTGAAACGGTTTTTCATCTCCTTTAGGACTTAACAGAAAACATTGCCCAAATTATTGTTCTAGCAGCATCTTTCATTCAGGATAACATTTTTTAATTTTGGAAAAAGATCATTTAACTGAACTGGGTACAAGAATTCTTAGATTTGAAAAGTATGGGTAAAAAGAATGAAAGCTAAAATATAATAAAGGTTTTCAGTGAGGGTGCCTTAGTGCTAGGGAGAAGCAATGGAGGGTGGTTTCACTATGAATAATAACAGATATTCTAGAAGCTGTGAAGAAAGGAGGCAACTTGAAAGCTTAAAGGATGAGTCTTAGACAAGCATTGAAGTGAAAGCGTGATCTTCAGTTACAGTTTTGGAAGTGTACATTAAATGTAAAATATTAGGAAAAGAAAATTTCTACAAAGACTTTCAGTTTTTTAAAGAACTGAAAAATGGTTCAGGTTGGCGTTTTTGTCTGGTTTTTACTCCTGCTTGTAATTCACGTTTTTTTGGTAATACAAGAGGCCTACTAAAAAGAGTTTGGATGTGGTAACATCATAATAGATGGGAACTTGCATGTGAAGCGGTGCAGCTGATCAACTGAGCCTGAAGGTGTGGAGTGCTTATAGCAGTAATGGCAGTGCTAGTAATGTAGGTGAAAGCTGTGATGGGTTTGTGTTCAGTAAAGATGATGTTAGACCATGCTTTTATGAAAGTTGTACTGCAATAGTTTTCCAGACAGAGAATGCTTAAATTTTTATTCTTTACATGTTCTTCTTAAAGACTTACCTCTTTATACTTTTTCTAACAAAAAACAAATTGAGGAAAAACCCATCAAAGTCCAGCCAGTAATCAGTAGCCTGCTTATTCAGCTGGGTGAATGCTGGAGACAGAACCAGGCAGTCCCTAGATAGATACCAGACTATTGATTGCTTTAAGATAGTTCCTCTTTCTTTTCTTGCTTCAAATAGAATTTACATGCTGATCCTTAAAATCCTTGTCCTAATAAGTTTCTTTCAAAACTGATGCATTTCAGCAAAAACAATCAGTTGCAACAAAACCATAGTTCTTTTACTACTGTATTCTGTGTTAAAATGTTATACAGAGATCACACTTTATCTTTGTGTAAAATCTCATGCAGATTTATGTACTACTCCATTGATTTCAGACTAATATAAGTATATGAGGGTTTACAGTGGATAATTAAATAGTCTGGAAGATGAGTGTGTATCACAGATTTTTAGTATCATAATAGAATTCATGCATTGTTCAAGTAATAGTAGCTATTCAACAGTAGTACATAAAAAAGTTAAAATGGCAGGGACAGAAGATCAGAATAATAAATTACAATGATTCATAATTTCACGTAGAGTGAGATCAGAAGAGTGGAAAACCATGGCATAAGAGAAGCAAATAGGACTTTCGTGACTTTATGCCAAGCTATGAATATAACATACTTGGTTATTTTGTGTTAAGCTTGTGTTTTATCTTTTCTTTTTCAGTCACATAGAGAAAATTACAACATGGCAAGATCCTCGAAAAACTATGAACCAACCGTTGAACCACATGGGCCACCATCATGCAGCTACTTCCACACCAGTACCACAGAGATCTATGGCAATGTCTCAGCCAAATCTTGGTGAGTCATCTCTGCATGTCATCTCTGTGGTGAAAATAAAAAGAGCAAGGAGAGACACCTTTTACTAATTTGTTTCCCAAAGTATTTTTTGCTTAGCTCTGATTCTGCTGTGAGACCTACCAGTATGTTCTCCACTTTCTTTTCTTATTTTTCCCTCTGCGGAATTTGCAGCAAGTGAATTCATACTGTTTGAGGTGAAATTCTAACATGCCTCACATTATATTTTAGAGTCTTCCTGACAATTTTTTAATGTAGTATTAACAATAAAATAAGGTCTTCCTGTGCTTTTTCATTCAGAGGTGGTATAAAGCCTCCACAAACCCACTGCATAATTTTCAAAGCTGACTGTACAGTGTGCTGATAGATAATCTGTGTTTATTCAGATCAGAGGTTGTATCTGGTTTGCTTGCTCGTTTATGATGGTAGGCTTTTGGTTTGGGTTTTTTTGCATAATTAGGTTTTGCACTGGAAACTATCTGCAAAATACTAAAAAGTCTGTTTTGCAGTCTGAACTACCTGAAGACTTTCTATAAACAGTGTGGTTTTGTCACTGTACCTGTTTAGCACTTGGAGCTTTAATTTAGTTTTCATTTGTCTGATTTTGCTAGGTATGAACCCTAGAGAAAATAAAGTGGTGAAAACACTGACAATTTTAAAGAAAACATGAAGAAAAATGGAAGAAAAAATTCTCATGTGTAATCAAGAATTACAAATAATTCCTAATATCTGCTGCTTTAACTGTTCCACCACTCCATAAAATGAGGAACAAATAGGTCAGTTTACAGGCTTGAGATCACAGAACTATCAAATACGTAGTTTTAAAAACACAGGCCTGATTCTTGTCCAGGTTAATTTTTGATACATTTGTCTCATGATTTCATGTTTATTCATTTGCAGTGTGGTTCATCAGGGCTGTCCCTTCACCTACCAAGAAAACTGTGCTAAAATTTGAAAGGTTAGGTTGTAACTGCATTGTTTTATACTACATGGTAAAGCTAACAATTGCTCTGTGCACATTACTTCCGACCGCGGCTGCGTTTAGGTCAATCTGTTCATAGCAGTTCTGAAATGGCCAATAGGACAGTGGGGTTTATTGCTCATACCAACTCCTCATCTTATGTTTACATCTCTTACATTCTCTACAATGATAAAATAAAGGAGGTACCATAAATCAGGACAGTGTACAGCAAGCTTTTTCCCCCAGTTTGTCAGCAGAAGTGAATAAAAACCAAATCCTGTACTGAAATACTTTTATAGTGAATTTTAGAGGAGGGTCTTTCTCAGGATACAGAGGGTTAGAAATAGAAGCATACACCTAATTAAGAGTCTTGAAGGGACTTCAAGTGCCCAACAGGGGCATTTCCAAAGACTTCAAAATCTGTTACATCAAACAGATCTAACTGTATTTCAAACTGTATTTCAGACTGTATTTCATTCAGTAACCTTTGCAGTTATAGATGAAGTTCCACTTTTTGGTAGATATTTATACAGTGCTTGGCATGGTTCAGATCTGTGACTGAATTCCCTAAACATTTGCCCACTAGAAATAGTATGTAAATATTTCCACAGCGTTCATATTTATTTAATTAAGAAAGTATTTTGTCAATATGTTTTGGTGGGGTTTTCCTCATTCTGGTGGCTTTTGAAAAGCATACTGTGACACTTTGGGACAAGCAAATATGTTTGCACAGCTTAGTAGCATTTTGAGCACCATACTATTAAATTCATCATCACAGTCCCTGATATTCCAATCTACCTTTTTGAACACACCAAGGTGACCTATTTTATTAAAAGATATATTTAAAAAGATTTAATTTAGAAACTGTTTTTTATATATGTGCACATATATATACACACAGAAAATTGCAAGAATCTAAACAGAATACGGTAGCCTCTGAATACTTCGTGTGACAGTTTAAAATACATGTGAGTGCATTTTCCAGTACTGAAACAGAATGTCTCTATTTTGAAATTAACTTGGTCAAAAGGCAAGGTCTTTCTGCTCTTCTGTGATGCTAACAGTGTTACTTCTGAACCTGCCTTCTTGGGTCTCAGACACTGAAGTGAGCAGTTTGTTGGTCTAGCAGTCTGACCTCCAAGCCAGAAGCGATTGTGCCAACATCTTAGAGACATCAGGGGGAAATAGAAATTGGATACCCAGTTAAGCCACTCTTCTGGACATAATTTTGTAACTTTTTAGCAAATGAAGTCTGGGCATTTCTCTTTTGCCTTGGAGTTTTTTGGTACTGTAGGAATTAGAAGTAGTTTTTCTTTTGAAGATGTGCCACTTAAAAGGATTCAAGTATTCCAGGTCTGCATACTAGTCTGCACTTCTAATTACTAACACATGTGTTTTCCTTGCTATGCTTCTTCTGAAGAGATGGAAAATACGGTCTGTTCTGTACAGCTTGTTGATTTGCTTTATAAACTCCTTTCAACAGTATTTGCTGGAAGTGTACAAAGGCACTTACAAACATTCTATCAAAAGCACAGAGTGTGACTAAATGATACCAATTCACAGTATGACTGTGCCTGAGACATAGAGAAGCATATAGTGAAAGTTGATTGAAATTACTGGACATACTTTAAAAAATCCTTTGTATTTTTCTACCTTTTTCCTGCTGTGGTTTTATGGTATCTATTTATGAGATACACATACTGGTTTTCTCATAACCTCAGCACTGTATTTCTTCCATCTTTATAAGTACTTCTTAAATCCTATTTACTTTGGTGCTGAATCTGCACATGTACTCTTTTCCTGCCCATTCTGAAAGAGTCTTTTTCAGCTGTTACAAGTCAATTCTGTTAATGTGGTAGAAACAAAGACTGTATGTGGGAGGAAGGGTGTTTGTACACCCTTATTTTAGACATCTAACCTAGGTCCCTGAATTAGGAGACCAGGCTCCATGGACTTTGTGTGAATGAAAGGAAGGAGAGCAGTTGCAGTGCAGCTAAGCTAATGGTCAAACTACTCTCTGACTTAAATGACTGAATTGTTCTCTGGGAGTGCCAAAGTCCAAGCTTGGGAAGCTATTCTGCTTTAATGGCAATCACTGGTGTAAGAAGATGCTGGAGGGTAGTTTTTGGCTATGTGTAGCAAGACTTAGGGGAAAAAAATCAGAACCTTATAAAAATTTCTTTTGCAACAATTTTTAATTAAATACTGCTTGGTTTGTAGTCTTTATTCCACATTATGCAACACTCAAAACCATTGTTATTTTCATCCTTCTTTCAGACTGTTTTAAAAGATTTCTTTTGTGATTGTGCTCTTCATCCATTTGGTTAGCACAATCTGGTCTTCATTTAGATGTTTTTCAAGTTTAACAGTTTGCAACTTATTTTGACATAAAATAATAAGCCCCTCTCATACTATTTATCTCTTCTGTATAAATTAGCTTGAATTTATACGCAGAAGTTCCTTATACAAAAAGAATAGGCTCTGTGGTACAGTTGTTTGTAGAATTTAGTCCTTAGGACAAATACCAATTGCAGACTGCAAGGCACAGTTATTCTAGGTCCTCTGTGAGTGACTGGGCTGTGTGTTAGGTAGTGTCCAGAGTTTGGTGGTTTGAGAGTTTTGGTCATTCTGCCACTTTGCAAAATGCCTTTGAGTTTATTTGGGTGTGGATAGGGGCTTTCAATTTATTTGTCTAGAAAATGTGGTTTAAATGTGTGTTTGATCTCTCAAAACTCAGTGAAGTCCAACCAGGCTGGACGCCCCTAATACTTCCTAGTGCTTGGCTACCACTGTCATCTTTGACTCTCTTCACAGTGGACAGTCCAGCACCAGCAATAACAGACATACATACCTGGGTTTACCACAATGCGTTTTCCACTTCTGGTACACAACAGAACTTGTGTGACTTGTCAGGCTTTGCATGGAGATGTGATTGATGGGAGAAAAGGCTTTTAAAAGCTGCAATTATGTATGAGCTGGCTGTTCAGGAAGAAGTGATAAGGAGTGAAGCAAAGAGACAAGCAGAAAGATGCTTGTGTAGATCCCTTATGCATTAGAGCTGAGTCATCTTCTCCTGCCCTCTTTGGTTATTCCCTTATAATCTATTATTTTGCATATAAGTTTGACAAGATGATCTTTCAAGGTCCCTTCTAACCTGGGCTGTTTTATGATGATGGTTGGTAACCTGGTTTTGTAACTGATAAATTAGCATCTTCTTGAGTAGTGTCTATTGGCCCAGCTAATCTTGTCTTCAGAAAATATACCCAGATCACTCTTAATTCTGAACACTGACATAATACCTTGTAACTATGTGTTCTCTCAGGTTCTGTCAAGATGAACTTACCAGTATGTATATAATCAGGAAAAACAATCATAAAAATGTTTGGTGTTAAAATTCCTGAGGTTTCCAGTGTTCCATACTCTATCAGCATCTAGAAGACATTGTTTTAATTTATTTACAGGCTGCTGCTTTTTTATCTGCTAGTGGTGTCCTCCAAGGGGGTATTATAAGAAACTGAACTCATTCAGATGTACTGAATTGAGGAACAGCTGCCTTAAGGTAAATAATGTTTTGAGCTTGCAGAGGTAAAGGTGCCTGTCCTGAGGTAAGAAGCTGGATGAGTTTCCACACATGCTTGAGGGTTGGGGAATGGCAGAACTTAAGGCTGTAGACATCACAGAATAATTCAGGTGGGAAGCAGCCCTGAGAGATCTCTAACCGAACCTGTAGCTCAAAGCAGAGTCAGCTGTGAGATCAGACCAGGTGCTCAGGGCTTTATGCAGTCCGGTCTTGAAAAATCTCTGTGCCACCTTAGGGGGTCCTGGTGCAGTTCTCACGCTTTCATCAAGTAGGAGACTGGCACCATAAGGAAAATGAATGATGTATCATCAACATGGGGTGGTGGAGTTTCGGAATGTGGAATATACTCTTAAGAACAGAGAAAAATTTCTGGCAGAGCGAGAAGGATATTAAATATACTTTTGGTTGCACTTTCACCTGATCAGATCATGTGTAAATGCAGAGTATAAGAAAAATAAATCA